GGAAAAGTGAGGCCATCTGTGGCATCGTAATTCTGCCCACGCTCGCTCTTTCTCTTTCACTTTGCCTCATCATTTTGGCTGAGAGCAGCCTGCAACTCGCGTGCAGTTTAACCTCAAGATGGAGGAGGACGTGTGTGTGTGTGTGTGTGTGTGTGTGTCACTTCTGCAATTGTAACCCATAAATTTATCAGTCACGCGAATCAATTGAGGCAAACGAGCTGCGCATTATTCAGCTGTTTTATTAACTACCTAGGTTAATCACGTAAGCTTGTGTTGGCAGCTTGAATCTGTAAGAATTTTTAATCTCGTTCAGTTTCTGTGGTTTTCTTTCGTGACTTGTGTGATGGAGATGGTAACAGAGGAAACAAAACATAAAATCAAGTCCCACGGCAGTAAAAAGAATCAATCCAGGATGCAAAAATCAAAGGTTACAACTAGGATTGATTGGGGATATTGGCAAAAAAATTAATCAAATAATTGTATTTAGCCGATAACATTTAATATTAATCCCCTGGACGCCTGCATGCCCTAATCTCATGACCAATTTAAATCACGCTAATGGGAGAAATTTACTTTCCGTAAAAATCTGTTCCAAATTGAGTCAAAAGTACAGACTTCGGGCAATACATCAATTTTTAAATGTGTTGATAGACCAAGTAAAACCGGAGTTACGATGAATAAATTACGGAACGTTTTTTTTAATGTTCGTCATATTTGAAGCGGAGAGGAGCATGGCGCAGACTGCCTGGTGGTGTTACTTGTATTAACCGTCAAGTGCCAAAAAAAATAACTGAATAAAGTTTTTCTGACGATTAATTGGATACGATACGATTTTGCCCAACCCTAGTCACGACAGGAAATCCATCCTGGTGCAAACGTTTTGGTCTTTTCTCCACAGTTTGTGTTGCTTTTAGGTTTCATGCTAAATATTACTTATTAAGTCATACTTACAGTTTATTACTTTAGCTTTATAGTACTGTAAAATATTTCATCAGTGGTGGGCACAGTTCCCCTAAAGCACTAATAGGGGAACTAGTTTCCTGATTAGTGCTTTAGGGCTTTTGCTAATTTTAAAATGTATTAGTGGATTAGCACTTGCTAAATTTAGAAGCACTAAACTGAGGTGAATAAATGTTATTGATCAACATTAATGTTAACTCTGAAAGTTGTCGCACATTTTGTTCATATGTGTGTCACTTATCCACCAGGTGACAATATATTGACAATATGTGAACTCAAATACAGCTGTGGAATATCAATGATAAGTCTTAAGAGAGCAAAATGACAACATGTGACTCATGTTGTCTGTTGAAGAATGTTCATGGGTTGACTGGGTTATTTTAGTGCTTTAGAATTAGCTTTTGCTAAAACTTTCAGTGCATTAGTGCTTTAGAATTAGGGGACCTAAATGTTTGAGTTAGTGTTTTAGGGCTAGTGGAACTAATTTTTAGATTAGTGCTTCCCACTACTCTCTTTCATAATTAAAATGAAGTTTCTCATCATGTTTTCATAAAATAGCAGAAGTTGTTTGACTCCAGAGTTTTGCATGCTTGAATACATTTGTGTTTTATTTGAATACATGCTTCTCGGCCCACCTCAGTATTTTTGTGTTTTGTTCCGAACATTCTGTTTATCAGGGGGTTTTGATATGAGCYGGAGTTAAAGGATGATTCTACATAAGTAATAAAATACTTCACTGATCTCCCTGAACTTTCTCCAAAGCTTATTGTGATTTGGCCTTTAAGAATCCTGCATGCAACCCCCTCGCACAAATCCAAACCATATCTGACCTTTTCTAATATGACCTTTTTAAGGCGGTCTAATTCTYGGTGACTTCCTGTTGCAGGGAACCGGTGCAGGCCAACTGTGTCCGGTGGAGGAAGCGCTTCTCCTTCCCTTGCAAAATGAGCGCCAACGCAGGAACCGGTGTCCTGGATCCCTGTGTGTGTCGTGTGTCTGTCAGAAAGGTATGCCGTGTCCCTTACAAATGGAGAATTTTTGACAAAGATTAAATAAGCTGCTCTTAAATCTAGGCGCATCAAACAAAAACAGTTTCTCAGTTTTAGTTAGAGAAGCACCATGTGGGTTGTGGTGAGTTGAAACCTGGCAGTTCCATGTGAAACATTTAAATAAAGAAGTTCAGTGATAGTCAATATTGTGATGTTATTCATCTGTCAAGATATTTCTATAATAAAATTAACAAATACCAGTTAGAATAAACAAATAGGCTTTATTTGTGAAAATTATCACTGCATTTATTCCTGTTTCAACTGAAATATTTTCTCATCTACAAACCTTTTGGTAACTTTTTTTTTCCTCTTCAGGAGCTTAAAGGTGGAAAGGCGTATGCAAAGGTAATTCTTGTCAGTTTGTCACACTCTGATCTCTTTAACCAACTTCTTGTTCTCCTGGTTTTACAATAATAAGACATATTGATGTTGCTAGCCTGCAGCTAACAGATGGCTTTCATCGCCTGAAGGTTGCCTCATTATGTCACGTGTTTTCTGCTCAGAATAGCTGAAAACAATTGTTTACTGAGCACAATGAACTAATCCMACTTGTGTTTGAAAAAACAATTCTAACCCAAGTTTCTGAAGGTTTCATAMTCATAATGAAAGAAAAATTATCTGTTTCATTCAAATTCTTTTCATGTCCCTGCGTGCTGCCACTGGCATCCAGAAATAATCCTGTTGCTAATGTGAAAAAAGAAAAGAAAAGAAAAGAGCCCCAYCTTGTGACATTTTGTCTCCTTTTAGCTTGGTTTTGCAGATCTGAATTTAGCAGAGTTTGCCGGCTCAGGAAATACAACTCGGAGGTGTCTGCTGGAAGGCTACGATACCAAAAACACTCGGCAAGATAATTCCATTCTCAAGGTAACGTTTAAATATCCTCAGCTGTCTGAGTTACCTCATTGAGACAAGAGAGTTTGTTTTTGAGTTGTGAATAATTTCCTTTTAAAGGGATC